TTTACTCAGCCCTAGCTCTCCTCTTCTGACAGTTCTATGATCTGATGCTGTGTTCTGAACAAAACCTGCTTTGGAAAATTTCAAACATGGTTAAGACAGGAGAAAATCCTGCTTGTGGAAATTCAAGGATCTTAAAGTAGAGAAAAAATAATAATTCTGAAGTCTTGCATGTACAATTTTAATTGTATTCACAATCATTTTGACTTGCATCTTATTGAGATCTTAGAATTTTTGTGATTTCTGTTGCTGTTATTTTTGGACCCTTTTGTCTTTTAATGATACACAAGAGATTACCTTACATTAGTAAATTTCCAAACACCACCTAAAATAGGTGCGTGGATGTGTGTTCACCATTTAAAAACTCTTATTATTTCACACAATTTTAATGCAACAGGTCCATCCTTCCTTTTTCTCTGCAGAAAGTGGAATGCCTGTTTTCAGAAAAAAGCACCTTCGGAGTATTTACTATGTTAGCCTGTATAGGGTAGCTCGTACAGACCACTGATTGTAATCCTCTGATGAATAATCTCTAAGTGTGAATATGTATCAAGGGAGATGGTACCAAATATTTTTGCATTTTACCTCCAAAATGCAAACTCTCAATATCATAAGCTGAGGTGTGAGTCTCCGCTTAGCCATCCTCACAGGTGAAATATGAACAGAAATTTAAGTGAGACATGACAGGAAGGATAAGTACTTGTAACACTTGCTCCTATTAAATTATAAGGATCTTACATTACACTTTTAGTTTATATATCCCAAGTTGTTGAACCAAACCAGTCATTTGCATTTAGGTCCATGTTTAGGAATTTGGCAATCCTTTTGTCCCCTGTGGTGACAAAACCAGCTCACTTCACTGTTTTACAGTAATGCAATTCAATGTAGTATGATGATAGACTGGGAACAGTGCAAATTCTTCCCCTGACCCTATTCCTAAATTGGTTTGTAATGCCCTGATCAGAGGTACAAGAGGTGTTAGGAAAAATACATCAGAAAGTGTATGGAGCACATGAAGAATGTGTACTGCAGAAAAACTCAACTCCCTTTTATTGAACTGTAGGGTGTTTGTAAGTGTGGCCAGGGCAGGAAAGCTGAGTCAGCAAGACCTTGATTTGCAGCATTATTGAGGACACAGTAACTTCATTTGGAGTTGTGGGCATTTAACAGCCTTGAAAATAGGACTGCAAGAGATGCTATTTAAGGTGTGAGGCATTTCTGTCAGCTGAAGGAAAACCTGAAGAAATTGTGCTGTCGGTGTCTAGGGATAAAGAGGAATAATTGCCTCCTATTTCTTCTTCAGAAGTCTGTTTTTCATCAGTGCATCAAAATACTCACTCTGACACAAATGAGCAAAATGCGCAGAATTAGACTGCCTGTAAGAAGGATAGTGGGGTGGTTTGGTAATATTGGATATAATACTGCAGATCACTGTGTTAAGAGTGGTTGGATACTGAATCAAGTAATTGAACCCTAAGGAGAGGCACACTTTTCTATTTAGATTGTGAACAATTGTTCAAACCCTCCCCAACAAAGGGCTGCAACAGCTAATGTGAAGTAGTCTGAAGTGCCACTATTTTTTAGAAGTAGATAGGTTGTAGCCACTCATCTTTCAAGACAGGACAGCTGTTAATCACTGATGTTCAGATTGGCTGTTCTGGTTTAAGCTGAAAGCATCCAAGGGTTACACTTTTCTCCTTTTTTTGTTCTTATGTTTTGGGGTTTTTCCCCCTATCTGTATGGCAGTGTTTTGCAGCCCCTGCATAACCCTCTGGTCTGTACTTTGGTCAGGGTAATATAAATTCTGTTCTTAACCATCTGAGAGTCTCCCGAGTGTGAAACATGATGGGATTTTGCATGCTTCAGCATAACCTACTTGAGATACGGGACCTTGTGACAGGCTTTATCAGGGTGGTAGCAGATATTCATTGGCAAGATCTGGACAACCAGTAGTGCCAGAGGGCCCGTGCTGTTGTGGTGAAGGCTGACTGTGCTAAGGATAAATCTCTTCACTCAGTCAAGAGCCTTTGTAACTTGTAGGAAGGAGCCCCTAGGCTGGGACAGCTATGGGCCTGACTGGTTGAGAAGCATTCGTTTAAGGTAAGTGGAGATGAATGACAGAAGAAATGATAGAGGTTTTATGTACATCCTTAGCTCTGGGGGTGCATCATGAAACCAGGTGAGATTTCTGAGAGATGGGAGCAGCCGGAGCTCAAAGCTACTCAGTGCAACACAGTGTACAGGGAGCCATCTGAAGTGAGTTGCTCCAGAGAGCTGTGGGAGGCCTCTCTTGGGTGGGACAGCCTGTTCTCATGTAACTGTAGTGCCCTGTACTGCCTCTGCTGTGGTCTCAATTTATAGCACTACACTGGGCTATATGAACATGTCCCATGTTCTTCAAAGCGCGTCTGTAAGTTTTGCACCATCCCTAGGTCTGAAAGATTTCAGTGACTTTGTTAGCTTCCATTTCTTTGGTGTGGCTGTAGAGGACAGCTTTGGTTGCTGCTCAGGACAGAGGCCCTGTTCGTCTCAAAGCCTGAATACCACTAAGCAACTTTATGTTCACTAAGTAATAATACTCAGGTTTACTCATCACTAGCTTTCAGTAATAAAATATGAAAAAGAATACACAAACCTAAACAGAAGCACATTAAAATTTGTAGCTGTCTGACAGAATGAAGAAACAGCTCTGCTGCTTTCTGCTCCCACAATAAAAGATTTACAGTAAGAGTAAGTCAAAAATCAATCTGAAAATGGACTAAGAGCCTGAGATGAGTTCCTAACTGAGGTATGTTCCCTTTAAGCCAAAGGGGTCTCAGACCCTAACCAAATGTCTTAAGCTGTTATTTATTACCTTATTATAATATTGTTATGTAAACCATAATGTGTTTCAGTAGGCAAATGTGAAGAACACTCTTCAAACTGTGAACTTCAGAAAATACACAGCTCAATTTAATTTTACTGGGTGTCCCATTGTTCTTGTGCTGTTGGAAGCAGTGAACGATCATTCGATCTTCACATCCTCTGAACTCCCAGTTCAATAAGGCTGTCTCTGGCTCCTCACCAGCTACCTCTTCTGAGCCAGCACTCTCCTTCATGTCATCCCTACTGTGTTTGGGTTTCTCCTTATGTTTGGTCATCCCTGTGGACCTTTTCTAGCTTATTTATATTCTCTGTGAGTTGGAAAGACCCAAACTATGCACCCTATTCAATAAGTCTAAGTACAGTGGCTTTCAAGTGGTATGACTATGTGTCCTCTTTTGTTATCTATTCCTTTTTTAGTGTTTTTTAGCATTCCGCTGGGATTTGTCAGTATGACCCTGCTGACAAGTGAACTGATGATTTCAAGACCTGCCCAGTTCTCCTTCCTGAGAAAGAGATAATTACAGATTCAGAGCCTGTCACTGTAGATACATACTTAAAGGTAATTTTTTGCCCATACACATTATTTTGCACTTATCAGTGCAAACATTTTGTCATCTGCTCACTCAATATTATGTGTACCTAAGATGTAAGTCTTAGCTGTCAGCTTTAGATGTGATTATTCTGAATAATTTTGTAATGGCGTTATTCACTGCTCTGTCAAGTAGTTTGTGACTGGATTGAGCCTCACAAGTCCCAAAGCACATCTCCAAATGGGATCCTGCTGTTTAATTTGTGACAAAATGACATTTATTTCCTTTCCCTAGCCATGAAGGGAATGTCGCCTCTATCCACTGATTGTTTAGCTTCCAGGATTGTACCATCTCCCTTTTTGTAAGCCATACACAACTGTTTTCCCTTCTACTATGTTGGAAAGCATCATAGGGACAGATCAGCTTTTTCTTTGATTAGCTTCAAAAGCTCTTTCACTGTCAATGCTTGGAAATGAACCATACAATCCCTGTAAGAATCAATTAGGTTTGGCTTTTTGTGTGCACAATCTCTCGTATTCTGTGTGTCATGCACATATTTTTTTTTTTGCAAATGGGTCATTCTGAGACACATCTTGTAGTAAGAGGCAGCATCAACTGACAGTTTTTCATCCTGTAGGCAATATGAGCAACATGAGCAAATACAAACATTTAAAATGGACATTTCTAATGTTTACAATATTATATATATGAATTCTGATAATTATAAAATAAGTGCCTTTTTAATTGCTCAAACTCTTTAGTCACAACCAATTCAATGATTGTTCTCACTCATGTAGAGGGAATTTAATGACAGATGTGAAGTTAATTTTTATTCTTACGACATTTTTAGTACAGAATCTGACCCCATACCTCCCTTTAGATTTTGCTCAGTGTCCGATAAAAAGATGAATGTTTTTATGATGGACTATGAGCTTGTTGATTATCTTGGTAAGCAGCAGCTGCAAAATCTGATGCAGTTTAGTGTGTGACAAAGCTGAATGTCACATACTAATTCATTTGACTAGGAGCCAAGCCAATATTCCTTATTGGGGTAAAATGCCCAGTAAAATGTTTTTATGGAATTAGGATGGCAGATGCATCACGGAAATTTGGGAACTCCCATTTTGGGTGCATTGAAAATGCATTGTTCAGATGAACAAGCTATTTATAGGCATGTGGTGTAATACTGGATACTCCTTTGATCTTTTAGTAATGCAGACATTACCATATGGACAAACTGCACAGATTGATTGGAGGAGGCCTCACTGGATAAATGAATACCTTGCTTCAGTTAATTTGCTGAGCTTTTATGTCAGTGTATCAGGAAAAAAAAAAATGCTTTCCAGCACATAGTTTATTTGCAGTGACATATAAAATGAGACTGATGACAATAAACACAGGTTTATGGCAGCCTGTTGGACAAGCAGCTTGTGATGGTTTGGACAATTATCTGGAGGGCTTTCATTGCTTCATTGCTTGTAGCCAATGCACAGCCTTTCCAATGTGCAACCATCTTTGCACATACATATCAGAGAATGCACGCAGTTTCCTCTACCACTTTGCTTTCAGTGATGTACCTGCATTAATTTTGCTTAATGCCATAATGGCTTATTTAGTTTTGTTATCAACCTCTGCTTTCTCAATCTTCTGTCCTGTGAGGAACTGCCATATTCCTCCTCTGTAGTTCTCATTCCCCAGGGCATATACAAAGGCGTCCACCGTTGGCACAGTCTTGGCAATAGAGACACAATATTTATTAATAGGAAAATGCACTGAGGAGCCAATGGGCTGATTTTAGCCTAGGCTCTGTTTCCCTTTACCAAACAAATGCCTGTCTCTAATGGCAGTAGCTTGCTACCCCCAGAGAGATGAGAGGTAAAAGCAATTTGGTCAGTTGGAGGCCCTTGATCAGGAAATTATAGTCTCCAGGAGAAAGAATTTAGATCAGCATTGCTTGAAACTGAGATATTTCAGTTGAGAGTGAATACAAACACTTAGGAGGAGTGAAGGGTGTGCTGTGGACACCATCTGATGGATGTGGGCTGATATTGCTGTCACATTTTATGTGGGATACTGAATATCTAAGTACAGTAATGCATTTGGTGACCTGAAACTGGGCTGATTTGGGGACTGAATGAAAGCTGAAAGATTTGATTTGATATTACTGAGTCCTGGAGGCAGTCTCAGAGCCAAGACTCGTAGAAAAAAGGGAAAAAAGGAGGCAGCGCATAACCTTAAGAGTGAGCAATTGCCGCTTCCATGAGGAGAGAAGTATTAGAAAAATGAATGAGACAGTCTCTTCAGAATTGAAAATTTTGAGCTGGTACTTGACCCTGGGAAGGACACAAAAAGCCCCTACAAACCATGAAACAGTACAGACTGCAGACCCCTAACTGACTGCTGAAGAAAAAACCCCCTGACTTCCTAAATTGTTGCTTGATCAAAGCAGTAATATAATGCCTGTTGTATCATTGTGCTCAGCTGTTTTGCCTTAAAAGTGGTAGATGAACAGAATGCTTTGAGGAAACAATCTACTTGTTATATATGTTAAAACAAGTAAAACCAATTGTGAGTAAATTGGCATTCTTCCATAGGAATGGAGAGAGGAGAGTAAGGAGAATGTCAGTATTTGAATTCCCTCGAGTGGCATAGACGTACCATGCGGTATTTTGGTGAAATGAACATCACATTTTCAACTGCTGCATAGAAGCATAAAAGGCAATAGGGACCCCAGCAAATGACCAATGTCTTCAATGGTAAACCAGTATTAAACTGAAAAACAAGAGCAATAAATTCTTTTGTGTTTCACAACTGCATACCGCAACAAGCGGATGGGACAGATTCTGTGATACCATGCTCTGTGTCCAGTAGCAGGAGAGGATTAGCCAGGATATGCTGTACCATTGCTGCTTTGCTGTCAATGTCAGAGCACAGCTCCCTCCACATCGAGGGCTGCCCATGTGGCAAGCCCCAAAGTCCTCTTACTGGGGGCTGGGTGGAGAGTGACAGTTGCTCCTGGGCAGAGGTGACAAAGCACCTTATGGTACATCAGTTAAATGAGTGTGTGAGCCAGACATAGAATCCATGGCCAGTAATTGCTGCTGAGGGGGGATAAAATTTAAAAACAGATAAAAAGGAACCCCATTTTGCTAACTTCTTAGAGTCTTTGCTGACAAATAAACTGTGTGAAGACACTACGATGGCAGTGCAACAGATGGATGCAGTGGCATCCCTGTTGTGGTAGGAGGATTCTTCTGTCCTTCGTGCTAGGGCTTTTCCATGATGTTCATGGCCAGCTGTTCTCAAGTATCTTACAAATATTAATGAATAGGGAAGTGATAATTTAATCCTTTGCTTTTCTGCATCATAACTAGTCTGCACAGCTACAGAATATCATAAGAAGGAAATCACACACTATTGCATAAACTCACTGAAAAAAAAGAGACTTACAATAACGAAAACTGAGATTTGCTCAAGAAATATGCAGAGGGCACATGTATTTATTCCAGACAGCTACAAACCAGTATGCCTGACTGTCTCTTTGCTGGTATAACATCCCCCTTGAGAAGCGACTGTCTTTACTGAGTGCAGGGGTTGGGCTGTGCCTGCCAGCCATCCATAGTGCCCCAGACTGTATAGCCTGCATCTAAGGAAACAGCTTATATAATCACCACATTACATTCCCATAAACCTGCCACACCAGAGCGATTCCTTTGTTTCCAGCTCATAAAGATTTCTCAATTTCCTCAGCCAAGTGTAAACACGGAGTGTATAGGAAGGCCCTTCTCCTCCCCCCAGGGTGCCTGCATGTTTCCTTGCAGTGCTGGCTGACTTCCTCAGTGATAAGCTAAGAGCCTGTAGCAAAGCAGGAAATAATGATCCTTCCTGAGCAAAGTTACTCTGGATAAATATTGATATGCTATTAGCAAATATTCTGCATGCTGCATGTTTGTTTTGTGACTAGATTTGGACCATTGTTGGTGGAGGGGAATCCTCAGGGTCACTAGCTCAACCTGTGCTTTGACAGGGAACTGTTTATAGCACTAGGTTGGGGCACATGTGGCTGGCTGGTCAAATCTTGAAATCTCTAAGGATGAGGTTTTCATGAACTTTCTGGGTGGCCCCATCCTGTATTGCACTACCCTCCTACTCAATTAACACTGAGGAGCTAGCACAGAAGGAGCTGAGCCAAAGCCTTTATGAAAGAAATTGGCTTTTTGAGGACTTTGTCTCTATTGGATGCAGGCCTATTTTGGCAAGGCAATTGCAGGGGCTGAGGAAGCTTTCTTACCTTATAGTGACCACTTTTCTTGAACTTCTGGTGGATGGACTGATAGGCTGTCAGCATGATGAAGCCTGGGATCATGAAATTGAAAATGGACAGGGCAAAAAGGAACGTGATATAGTTTCTGGAAACAGTGAGGAAAAGAAAAAAAAGAGGTTGTTAATTCCTCTCTAAGGCATCTCTGTAAACTTGCTGTAAATATTCATTAACTTGTATTTTTAAAATTGCCAAAACTAGTTTTGTCAACATGCTTTAGGTGCAGCATTTGCTGAAGGCCAGTTAAGTTGTGCCATGCTGTTATGTGTGGGATGGATAGTATTGTAGAAAATCACAACAGGTGTTTTGTTTCTAAACCTAAGCATTCCTACTCAGATATCTGTGCTGGACTGCATAAAACCAAAACCATTCTGAAAGAGTTTCAAGTCCTAAACCCAGAAAAGATGCAGCTTATAGATGAGCAAGGGAGCGGCAGAAGCCTGAGCACCAGCCTCTCCCACAGAGGAAGCTGACTTCAGCTGTTCCTGCATGCAGCCATGCAAGTCAAGGCAGCCTCGGGTTGTGCCTGTCTTGCCCCAGCCACTGGGGAGGAGATCTGTCCCAGCAACCATGATGGGGGACAGCTGGGGGTTTTGGTGTGCTGCTGAGGCCACCCCAGGTGATGGCAGCCTCCGTTCCCCCTTGAGAGCTGGCCCCGCACTCACCTGTCTCCTTTGCTGTAGTCCAGGGTGCAGCAGGTTCGAAGGGGTTCATAGTCATATTCCCCCCACCCCAGCAGGGGCATCACAGACCAAAAGGCAGCAAACAGCCATGCAAACACCATCATGGCGATGGCCGTGCTCCACTGCAGCTTGCTCCCTGTGGGAAGAGAAAAGGGCACCTTCATGCCTGGAACGAAACCAGCGGGCAGACCGCTGTGAGGCCAGACCCAAGTGCCCTGGGCCTCGAGCAGAACAAGGAGTTGTCTGTGTTTCGAAGCCTGAAGCTGACCTGAGTCTGGAGGAATCAACCTTGCATAAAGCATAAAATATGAAGGAAACTTTTAGACTTTAGGAAACAACAAAGTGTACTTCCCTTTTGTGTGCTTTACTTCAACAAATGCTATTACTGCTCAGCTTTGTATCACACTGGAGATACAGCTGCTGTTACAAACATTATATTCTTGTGATTTGGGAACATGTTTAGAGACTCAGATGAGGCAGAGAGTAGAAAGAACAGGATGATGGAATAAATAGTGTTTGAAGAACTACAGCCCCACTGCAGGGTGGGGGTCAGATCAGAAAAGTGACTATGCACACACTCCCCAGCCCCTGCCTGCTTCCTTCCTGCCCTGCCAGGAGTGCAGGGCACAATTGGATATTAAATATACCCTATTAACTATATGTAAAAATACTGCTGGTTGAATTATTTTGTCCTTAAGATCATTGCTTAGCCTAGAACAGGAAATGTGAAGTTCAGCATTAGTAATTTTTTTCTAATTTTATAATAAAAATGATCACTTGTACCTATCTCATCCAGTTCCATAAAATACCATAGGAATAGGTCAATGATTGAAATGAAAGGCAGGAAACTTCATAAGGCGCAGGAAGTATTTCTTCATGGAAAAGGCAGACAGGCTTCCCTGCTGCTGCAGGACATTGTGTTAGCCTCACTGCTTGCACGTAAAAAGGCTTGGATAATTTTGTTATCAAGGCTAACATCCATAATCATGCCCATGCTGAATAGCCCATGATGCCAGCTGCACCAGCAAGGAGCACAGTGACTTTTCCTACTACTCTTTTCTAATCAAATCTCCTGTTAGGGAGAAATAATGATGTAATTTTCACTGAGGTTGAGAAGCAATCTTTTTGTTTGCCCTTAACAGCAGCATCATGACAGCAGGCCAGGAAGATTCAGGACAATTCTGACCTTTCTCAGAAAGGTGAAGGATTGGAGGTGAGATGTGTGAGGTGAGGCCCTGCTATGGGATCAGACGTGGCTGACTCATGGGTAGAAAGCATGTGGGGGCCCACACAGGCTGGAAATCCCCATAAGGCAGCAGCTCTGGCAAGGACTGCAAACTCTACAGTAGTCGTTTTGTGTTGTACTGACCTTGTGTATTTTAAAGAAGCATAATAAAGTAGGTGTGTTAGTGAAATTGCTGTTTTATAGGAATGCTGATTCTACCTCTGTCCTTTTTCTTATCTTCCAGAGGTTCTTCGGGGAAAAAATTAGAGTTTGAATTGCATTAAAAATCAACTTGGAAAAATTGTTTGGTACAGGTGTTCAAAAGTTAGTTATGGTAAAAGACAGGTGCACACATTGCAATTTAAATTTCAAGGAAAAAAGTAAAGAAAATTATTAAATGCTCCATGTTTTAATATAATAATGTATAGGGTTAGTTACAAAAAGATCTTTAGTAATTTAAAACATTATTTTTTAATAATTACTAATGAAGAATGATTAATAATGACTAATATCTGTCTTTTGTATGATTCCTATATAGAAGATCTACTTTGGCTGCAAAGGCTCAAATATTGCTTTGTAGTACTGACATAATATAACTCTAGAATGAAATAGATGAAAATAAAGGAATAGTTTCTGATTTAGGGGACTAGAAATACGAGTCAAACTTTTTAGTAACTTGTAACTATTCTTAATCTCCCAGTCCAAAGAAGCAATGTAGCTGAAGTTGTATCTTTCAGAACGGCATCCTATTTAGGTATATGCTCAAACAATCATGTTAGAGTTGTTACTCATCCAAGGTTTCCATTCCATTTGTGTTCTACATAGTGGTTCTTGTAGCTTGGCTTTACACAACTCTACCTTGACATTCAATCAGGACAAAGCTTATTACACAAGCTGTCATTATTTTTTTTGTTTCTCACATATTCTAGCAACATAGAAGGCATTATCAAAGGCAGCTGCACTGAAACCTGGATCTGAATTGTGTTTCTTTTAAACCAAGCTCATGCCCAAAGTAGCTTTATTGCTTTGGGAAGACAAATTTGTAAGTGCTAAGCCCTCTTGATCTTCAGGGGAAAAAACCCAAACCAAACCCAAACTAAATCTTGGGGGTTTTTTTGTTTTGCAGCAATTCCTGTAAGATAGTTAATACCAATTTTTTTTTTGTGGCATCTTGTGGCAGAAACTCTGCTCTCTTTCCACCCCATCCTTTCACTTCATGGACTCCTGCAGTGTCGTGAAGGTCTTAAATCATGATGGGCCCTGACCGAGGCACTCTAGTACCACTGGGTCCTAGCCACACACTGGCACCTTATGGACCTTTGCACGTAAGGAAAAGATCCTAGCATTGACAAAAATTGCCCTCAACTGCTGGGAAAGTGTTGGTGGCATGCTGAAGGTAGCCCATGTGTGCCTGCACTGACAGAGGGCAGCTAATCCAGGTGCCTGCACATGTGCGTTGTGGGGTTGGTGGAAATCTCACCTTCCCTGCTGTTGCCTTGCACAGAAAAGCAGGGGAAGCTCTTGCTCCACTGGCTCCCACCACCTCTGGTGTCTTTCATGCTCCCCAGTCTCTTGGTGCCATGTTTTTCATCTGGCCCCATGTGCTACCAGCTGGGGTGCGTGCAAGCAATAAGGAAGTTGTGAGGTAAAAGGAGGAAAGTTTATTTTCATTACTTCTCCATGGGTGTTAGGTAGGGCACACCATTTTCTTATTAGATGTGGAATAAAAGGATGATGCAATAATGGAGTCTGGCACCAGGCATTTCTTGACAGCCTACATTTGGAAATCTCATTTCTGGGGCTGAGTTCATATGTTCTCTCTCCTCACATTTAAGGAGTTCCATTTTGGATGCTAGAAAAGGAGAGAATCAGAATTTACAAATTTAAATTTTACCTTCTGGATTTGGCCTTTTGCAAAATGAGACTAATGGTGAAATAGTCCTAGTGAAATCAGCTGCCTGTTGACCCTCCAGAAAACATTTCATGACACATATGAAGTAGCTAAAAATGTATGAGTGTACTATTAAACAAATGTGATATTATTTTAGTTTTACCCAGAAAAAATGCTTTCAGTACAAGAACAGTGAAAGAATCATGCTCCGTTCACATGGCAAAAAAGTCCTCCTCTGAGAGGGCCAACAGCAAGAGAGCACATCGAGAGCAGTTCAGTTGTTTTTGTGCAGAGCAGGCCATTGCTTTACCTTAAATGCCTTTTCTGGCCTGATAAAATTTAATGTAATAGCCATGCAGGTCCTAATTCAGTTAAATGTGTATATATGGAGTTCAGCATATGCTTAAGGATATAATTCTTAATTAGGGCCCAGAGCTGGCAATTTAGTCCTATTAAGTCTAATCACTCTTGTGCTCTGGCTTTCTCTCCTTGAAAAACAAGAGGGAAGCTTCTTTTTTCCATACAGTGAAATATTAACACAGGGGATTTTAAATGGCTTCTGTAATTGCTTTGGAACAGAAAGAGGTCACTCTTATAAACCAAAAACCCCCTGTTGTTTAAAGAGTACTAAAATTGTGATGTCAAAAGCTTAAATTTTAGGAAGTGCTAGATGGAGCATGGAACAATCTTTTTGATTATGCTGGCTAGTTTTTAGTGACATAATCATAAGCTATTTCTCCATCTTTAGTCTGTGGGAACATTTATGAATTTAGATTTTTTGAGGATTTATAAATTGGTCAAACATTTAGCTGATTTTCACAGAAAGAGCAAAAAATACATCTCTGACACAGTGGTTATCTTTCAGCTAGATCTCAGGCTGGTGTTTGAAAGGAATTTCTCAAACAAAAGGTCAAGAGGATTTTCTAGGATGGAGGGGAGAAAAGTCCCTTTTCCTCATTCTTGGAAATAGTTGAATTCTAATGGCTGATATATTCCAGAAAAATATGGCTTGTACCAGACTTAATGGCATACATCACTTAAAATTGGCAAAGCTTGTCAAAGACAAGAATATCTGAAAGTTTTATAAGGGAAAATATGTATCAGTCATAATTAAAATAGATGTTGGTACCTACTTCATCTGAAGTGCAAAAACACCAGTCACTGGTGCTCACAAGTATTCATTTTTTGTAGGAATAAGAAAGCTGCACTGCATAATAGCTTCTTTTGTCCATATCATTAGAAAAAGCTCTTTAAAATAACCTAATAAAGGGGTTTTTTTACTCCATTAATTTTTTTGCTGTGGTTATTCATGATCATAAAGCTGTCTTGGTGATTACCTCCTGCTTCAGTGAAAATGCAAGATCTGTATAAATATTGGCATTTTGTCAGGGTCTTGATTTGCAGGTGCAAGTCCTGATTTGCAGGTGCAAGACTAGATGAAGGAAGTGTGGCAGGGTGGCTGCAGTGTGACAGGAGGTAAGGACATGCTCCTAATTTGACAGAACTGACAGCTGCAATTGGAGCAAATGGTAGTTTGCTAATCTTTGAATACTGATATAACAACCTAGATTTCCTTGAATGTTAAGAATTAGATAAAACTTACTGGAATTCTACTTCTTGAAATTGAATGCTGCTGCAAAATCCCTGCTGATTTTGTTTCTTTTCTCTTGTAATATTGAGAAAAGTACTGACATAAATCACCTCGATTTTCCATTTCCCTCTAATTCTTAAATGCAAGTGTAAAATCATCTAGATTTTTTTCTTTCCTTTTAAAACTGTAACTGTTAGCTATGGTTATGAAAGGTAAAAAAACTGACCAGGTTCCTTCCTCTCTCCATAACCTGCTGACAGCTGTGTGCTACCCTCTCACCAAAATGAACTGTGTGTTAGATCGAAATGCCTTCAGCAAAGATGTCTCTGTGGTAGGTGGCTGCCTGCTTTCAGATCGCTGACCCCCTGGGCTGTCCACCAGCTGCCCTCTGCCTGCTTGATCCCAGCTCCAGTGAGACCTCCCAGAATGCTGCTTCCTTCCTTCCTTGCTATGTTAAGAACATAGTTCAGGACATTTTTCTCATTTGAATGGCCAGGAAGGGAGAACTAACAATATCTACCTTGACATAAAATGTCATCTTCTGTCCTCAATACTTGGCTATTGATAGACAGCTTCCTCAGAGTTTGCCCTCTTTCACTGTCAGGCACTAACATAAAACTGCGTCTGTTTTCTCCTTTTCCCCTTACTGATCAGATTTTGAAATACAATATGCTGTTCTCCCATCTTGCTAGTGATTGACATTCAAACCCTTCAGACTCCCCACCTTTTCTCCTCTTATTGCATACTTTAGACTACAGATTTCTGTAGTTGTCTCCTCCTTGCTGTGGAAGTAGTATCTCATAGGCCTCAAAGCCAGATTAGGGGATGAAAAGAGAATTGCCCAGCATGGTTGCCTGGGGAGGAAGAAAGCAAGAGAAGGAAGAGTAAAATGTCTTGAAACTCTAGAGGCCATACTATTTTCTTCAATATGCCAATCAATATCAACCTGTTTTCTGGTGAGTGACTTGTCTAGTTGTCACTGAGGGTTGTATTGACTTCCACATTTAAAAACTTGGTTAATTTTCAGGATGTTGGTGAACATATTTGTGTTATTAGCATCCAGAATGGCTGAAAAGTCCCATTGTTTTCTCATCATCATAGTAATTTCTCACATTCTTATCAGATATTTCTTCCTCAGAAATATGGATAGCGGATAATCAAGTGTCAAGCTGAGGAATGCCACAACAAAGGTTTTCCCAGAAACTGTTAGGACATAACAAAAACATTGGGGATGATGCAATTGAGTCTGGAAGGAGTACCAGTCCCTGAGGAACAAAGATAAAAGTTGATAGCTTTGTTTTTTAGGCAAAGGTGTTTCATGCCTTCTGTACAGGCATGCAGCTCACACCAGTGTCAACAGGAGTTTAATGTATGGATTGAGAACACAGTATAGCCTGTAGGCTTGGTATATCAGATCTATGAAATATGATTTAATTTTCCTCGCAATTAGCGTGTGAAAGATGAAAGTAGAAGTGACTGGTTTTACTGGAATAGCCACAGAGCATGGGCTTTTAAAACTTCTGGGGTTTTGTTTTTGTTTTGGTGTTCAAAATGTTCAGTAATAGCAGCAATGTTTGGCCATGAGTAAGTAACAATTTGAGCAAAGTAAAGGATCTTGTGTCCTTAGGGTCTCTCTGCCTGTGCTCTTAATGTAGTATGCTCTTGACTGGAGAAGTGCATGACACGAAAGCTTTAAAGTCAATGTTGCAGAGAGTAAAATGTCTTTCCACTGACACGCTTGTTTTCAGGCTGTCTCTCTTGTAGAATACAGATGCTACTCTTCTAGCTCCAAACACATTTTAGTGTCCAAAGGATGTTGGTATGGATTTAGCTTACAGCCTGCATTATTTGGGGCCTTTGCCTGGACATGAAAAAAAACCCCCACATTGCCTTGCCTGAGCTGAATTCTTCACAAGAGTTGCAGAATGAAAAGTCGGCAACCTTTCCACCCTCAATGGGATCATCAGATTGAACACGTTCGCTGTGTGCTCTGGGTGTGTTTTACCACTTGCTGCTTTAATCATATGGAGGCGATGCCTGAAAGGTTGTCTGGATGCTAATGGTGGAGGGGATTGAAGTGCTGCAGCTCAGCAGTTTCTTCCCCAGCCAAATTTTACACTTTCATTTAGAAGATATTTTGTAAAGTGGTCTGGGCAACCTGTGGTTTAGCACAAGAAAAGGAGGGCTGCATTTGTCTATCAACATTGCCAAAGGGACACAATTTTTTTGGGAACGGTGCGGTCACGTGGGGTGCTCTGGACTCCTCACTTCTCTGGAAAGGGCCTGGCTTTAGCAGGAGACACGAAAGCTGCAGGTCTGCATGGAATGACCTCATGCATTTCTCCCAGGTGACAGAGCTCCCATGCAACTGTCAAAATGGCCAAATAGTGCAGATTAGGGCATTCCTAGTATTACTGAGTGCTAAGATGTCACCTCAGAATAAGTTTGTATTTCATATCATGTATCTTTCCCTTTTTCTAATGAGGGCCATGAGATTGTTCACCCTCTGTCACTCAGTCCTTTCCTAAAAGTTTTTGAAAACGTTGGCTGCTTAGAAGTAAACTGAAGAGGGAAGTGGGGACTGCCAGGTACTAAGTTGTTGCATTTACTGTGAAAGTTGGTGTTTGGGGAGAGGTGAGGCCCCATGAAAGCACCCATAATGCAGTCAGCACAAGTCTATCTTACTAGACAAAAGCAAACACAATCCCTGTGCACTATATTCACAAGAAAGCAGGTTTTGCCAGTTCCAGTGCTCACAAGGCTGCTCATTTGTTTTACAGCAGATGATAATGCCCCTTGCTGTGCTTCCCGACTTCTGTGCTAAGAAAGTTCAGTTATTCCCCTGTTTTCCCTATCCACAGTGGTGGCTGGAGCACAGCTGGAGTCTCAGCACAAATCCCAGCAGTCTCCGCAGACACCAAATCCAGCTCAGCACCCTAATTCAGCAGAAATCTCCACTCATGTTACATGAATATACAAATCCAGTGCTGCCAAAGTTTGGGAGGTAGTTCTATGATAAAAGACAGAGCGTATCTATCTCTATAAATCCATATATTAGACAATCCTGTCAGTCTCTCTTTCTCAACTAAATCAAAAATATTCTTTCGTAAGTCCACAAAAAAAGGCAAATTTATTTTCCTGCGTTGATCTCCCTGTCTAATATTAGATTTCCATTAAATCCAGCTAAGGTGTCAGAGCTAGTTAAAAGCTAAATTGCAAGAAAAAAACAAAAAATGGCCTTCATGAAGACAAGAAAAATAACATATTCCTCCTCTTATCAGTACTTAAAAATAGCTCTGACACTTTTATTGAAACTTGCAGATAATTTGCTCCTTGCTTGGGAACAAATATACCGAGTTCCACTCTTCATAAGGGGGCCTGGAACGTAGCACAAACCCCACAAATGGCTCTTGTGCCCCAAAGTGCCTGTGTGTCACACAGCAGGGCTGCTGAGCTCTGTCTGCCCAATCGTACCTCTGCAGAAGTGCTTTGCTGTGGGCTCTGTTCCAGCTGCTGTATCTGCAGAGGCAGCTCTCTAGCTACATGAAATTTATCTGTAATTAGTAAACTCTGCATGGGCATGAAGATCTGTTTGCTACACAGCAGGGTGTTGGATGGAAGCCCAAGGTGCATAGATTTTTCTTCAATATGAAGATTGGATTTTGTTTGGGACACTGAAGGTTATTTATGGATAGGCTGAAAGCATGGCAAGAGGGTCAGGACTTGGATGTGATCTGAAAGAGGAAACATCTCCTGAAGGTGGTTGATTAGTGCCCCCTGGATGGGAAGAGGTCCTTTGGAGAGATTGTTTATATTTGCTTTATCTCTAGTGTGTAGGATAAACAAACTTACACATAAGATACACAGATAATAAATATGTGCTTGCTTTGATTCTCTGAAATCTTATATAATCTTATAGCAGGATCTGGGTAAGGTTGCTAGGTAAATTGTAACCCTTACTTGTACAGTAGTGATGATACCGGTCCCAGGCGACTGCAGCACTGGAGCTAATGCTGGCTAGTGCTGTCAAGAAGCCCTGGAATCCATGAATTTGACAGCCATTATGAAATCCATGAATTTGACAGCCATTAGAGCCATAGGGCCAGTATCTGTCAACAAACAAGGAATATATTAAGAATATTATAGAAAAAGGTGAAGACATGTTTGGAAATTGCATTAACAGAGAGGGTAAAATGATAGCCTGTGCATGTGCTTTCTAAGTCTGAGAAACATTGTGAAAGCTGTTACTGTGGTTGGCTTTAGGTATTTGCTAGCATTTATATTGTTGTGGTGTCTGATGTAGTACAACAGCTATTTTTACTCTTAATATGGAGAAAATAACCCTGCATTTATGCGTGGAAAGTTGGTTTTTTTATTTGAAATCTACATTTCATCTAAATATCCATATCTTCAAAATTTGCACCCCTGGGAGCAGCCAATTTGTCAACATGTGAAAGTAGTAAATGAGTAACGGACTTTGGAAAGTCAGTGTTCACCATGCAACAGAGGACAAAAGCTCACAACAAATAAAATTATTCCTGATAGCAAGATCAAGGCCTTCAAATGTCTTTGCAGGCATAGAATGAAAAGAACCATGAGGTCATCTCATGTAGCAGACATCTGCTGACATGTGCCTTCAATATCCTGGTCACCCATGGCAAGGAGCCATAGCTTTTTTTCTCTCTGTGTTCATCTAACTTGACTCTCATGCTCATAAAGCTGGCTGTGAGGTGGAAATCTTCAGCAATCTCCTTTCTTATGTATTTACAGAACACTAGTATAATTCATTAGGACACTACCCCTGGAAATCCCTCTGAACAGGAGATAGCTGACGTCTTGGGAGGCTGGGAAACTTCTGCTTCCATTTAAAGGAAAAGGTCCTGCAACTGTTAAAACCAAGTTCATTTTGATGTATTGACCTTAGCTTTTCAGCTCCAGTTCAGTAAAGGCATCTTTATTTACTTCAGTGACACATATGTGAAACAAGAGTCACCTATACAGGATGTAATATAGTGTTGAATAAGGCCTCATTGGAGCTTATTATTGACTTGCTAATTTGCAAAAATGTTTTAATAGCCATTAAGAAAGAATAAAATAGTCACATTCTTGACATGTATTTCTGTTCTCTATTAAAGGTATTTCCAGGGCTTAAAAATACACTGCTTAGGTGGAATTATTCATCAGCTATTTTATAGGGTGGTGAGGTTTTTTTGAGTGTGGTTTGCTTGTGATTGCCTGGTGGAACTATATAGAGTTTCAGTACGCTGTTTCAGACTGAGAGAACGAGAAGTTAGGTGGTATGCTAGAAAGAGAGTCATTTAATTAATTTGACCTCTTAGAACTTAAGCTGTTAATTTTGATGTAGTTCTTCTGAGCATCCTTTAGGAAAAAGAAGCTATACCTGAGGAAACTGGAAAAAGCAGCAATGAATGCGTTGATGCAGATCCCACAGTCGGCCAGTGCAATGCTGAGAACCAGCAGATTGCTGGGTGTTCGCAGTTCTTTGATTTTTCGGAAAGAAATAATTGTCAAGCCATTCAGACAGAAACCAAGCAGGGCTGAAATACAGAATTGTTCAGCATGATTCAACTGGAAATGGAAAATATCTATAATGGTATTGCTGGTTTTTTTAATGAGAGAACAATAATTAGTGTGGAAACTTATGCACAGGGAATATATCTGTAGTGGTCACAGTCTGCACACAAGTTACAAAGACTTTCAGGAGAAAAGTCATAGGTGACAGCTGAAGCCAATGCTTCAAACTGCATCAGGGATATGGCCAGTCATGTGGAGCAGAAATGGTTTAATCTTATTTGTAGGATTTTCTGCCTTCTATTTTCATAGAAAAACCTGATTGCCAGGCTCCGTCCAAGTAAACGTGGGTCAGAGCGAGGGAGATGAAGAGGAGGCAGCTTCAGAGGGGCTGACAGCCAGCACATGCTGCTGGTGCACATGTCTCCAGGCCTGTCTTTGGTAGAGAAGCGGGTTGTGTTTAATATCAATTGTAACATGCTTTTGTGTTTAAGTATAGAAATCCCTCAGCTGTGTTTCAGTCAGCTTGCCTCCCTTTGGGCTTCTGTCTAAAGTTAACCTAGACAGTGCTTGAATCACACCAACTCAATCTTATTACTGCCCTTCGTCAATACACTATAGATGGAAAGGAATAATCTAATTATAAAAAGCAGTCACTGATAGATTTAAAAATATAAGGTAATGTTGGTCCTCAGAGAGGAACATCTAAGCAACCCCAGCTATTCACCCAGCACAGAGCTGTGTCACCCTGAAACCCATTCTTCACTGGTTTAAACTCAAGCTTTGTCCTTTAATGTCCTTTTCAAGATGACCTGAATTATTACAGCTCTGATGAGGCTCTGACTCAACATCCCATCTCTAAGTCTCAGTTAGATGAGAGGCAGTATGTCTTTTTCTTTGTGTTCTTCTTGGAAAGAGAAATGATATAGCACAGGAAAAAATCCATATCCACAAATTCTGTAAAGTAGTATAGTTAGTTAAATGCATTGTCTTAATTCTGCAGTTACATAAGGTGGATGATTTTATCTAGTCAGAAATCCTGCTCCTACCTTAATTGCATTAATGGCTGATGGCATAACCATAGTAACAGCTGATGTGCGTCTTTCATTACACAACATATTTGGACAAATATTTGGAGCCCTTGGAGATCTGCTGTTCTTATTTCCTCCCTGCCAGCTTACCTCCCACCCACAGGGTAAAGCTGCTGCCAACTCTCCCAAATGCAATCAAGCTTTTAGGAGAGGTATGTAGTGACTGCATTTAGAGTAGAGCTGAAGAGTTATAACTATATCAACTTTTTTCTATCTTTCCCCTGTTTTTGGAAGCTCCAGGCTTCACCCCACTTTGCTTTCTTGAAGGCCAGCATGAGTGTACAAATAGAGAACTTACTAAATTAAAAAAAAAAAAAAGCTTTGAGTTTCCATTTTTAGAACAGCAAATGTGTCCAGTTAATAAAGTGAATGCAATGTTTTCCTCTTCCCCAGCACTTTTTTCAAACTGCACTTAGAAGCTGCAACAAAAAAGGAGATCTTCATTGCCTTTCTCTCAGAGTCTCTGAGGAAGTGAATTAATCGAATCATAGACTCACAGAATGGTTTGAGTTGGAAGGGACCTTAAAGATCATCTAGTTCCAACCCCCTGCCATGGACAGGGACACTCTCCACTAGAGCAGGTTGCCCAAAGCCCCATCCAACCTGGCCTTGAACACTTCCAGGGAGGGGTCATCCGCAAATTCTCTGGGCAACCTGTTCCAGTGCCTCACCGTCCTCACAGTAAAGAATTTCTTCCTAATATCTAGTCTAAATCTATCATCTTTCAGTTTAAAGCAAATAATCTTTAATTATTTAGTTTGATCTTCCAAGTCAGACAATAAAGTATTATTGCCAATCCGCTGGGCACGTTCTGCCTAAAACCCTATAGAAAATACTTGTGCTTAGTAAAACATAAATATGTTAGACCACATGTAGTTTTAAGTGAAGGTTACCAGGAGGTACTTTGCTTGGACTTCAACAGCTGCAGGTCCCTGGCAGGTGGCAGCCCCCAGGCACAGGTGGGTGGGTGGGCAGGTAAGGGCTGGTAGGGCAGGTAAGGGCTGGTACACCCAGCCGTGCCCCAGCAGGACCCCAGCTGTCAGAGTCTGCCAGCAGCCAACAGTGTCCCTGTCCTCCTGCTGCTTCTCACCCTTCAGTAACAAAGTGCAAAGTCATGCCAGGCCCTGCCAGGCCCTGCAGATGTCTTAATGGCTGTTGGCCAGGTTTAGCCCTGAACTTTCTGTTTAGGTAGCAGCTTGCTCCTGGGCCAGTAGTAGAAGCTTTTTTCTCTCTTTCTTTTTTCCAAGGAAGAATTTCTGGCACAGCTCTTCCAGCTTTCCTTCGCAGGCAGATACAATTCTGCCTTCCAGCTGAGCTTGCCTGCGAGGAGAGGGTGAGCATCCTCTTTTCTCCCATGCTGCATGTTCCTGGGGTGAGCTGATGAGCATTTATCCCATTCTGATGGTGCTTACAGCTTCTCTTCCTCTGCTGTTGGGCCCCACGATCCCTGCAACCCCATCTGAGCAGCACTGTGCAGGGATGGACTCCCAGGCCCTGACTGGGATATAGCTTAGAAGAGACGCCGGTGACTGACACCAAACTAATCCTAGCTACAAGCTTGTCCTTCACTAGCTGCCAGGTAGACACAAATTCAGTTTTGTTGCAGTGTCTCAAAGTGAGTGGCACGTGCCTTAAGAAAAGCCCACGTTGGCTAAATTAAATGAATATGGTCTCCTACCTCAGATTTTGCTTCCTAACACTGTGAGAGCTTTTGAATCTCATGCAACTATATTTCTGTTTGTTATTTTTACCCAACAGCCATTAATTGCAGCACTACCAATGCAATCTGGATGCGTGCTAGGAGTTAACAGGGTATTTTGGACCTATCACCTATGATTATAAGACAGCCATCACAGCCCACAAAACAAGCAGCCCAATTTTATTGAGAGATCATCAGCCATTTCAACATCCTTGCCCCAAGGAAGATAAATTGCTTTTAAAAGTTCACAACAAAATCTTACATCCCAAATTCTTGAAAGAAAGCTAAGTAGCAAGTACTTCCCCGCCATAGGGCAGCTATGTATACAGAGCAGATCTTCACAGCAAACAGATTGCAGCTAACTCTGATTTACTCTCCAGAAGTACTGGTGATGTGGCCACAGTAACCGCTATAGGTCTGGATCAGCATACCACAACTGCTGTTTGCTTCAATTTTCCTTCCCCCTCCCACCAGGAATAAAAGGGGCAAAAGTCTTATTGCTGCTGAAGTCCCGCACTGAGCTTACCTTCTACCAGCAGGGCAGTGCCGATAGCAAATACCTCTACTTCAGTGAAGCCTTCAGGGAGAGGATATGCAGTGACCATACTTGCGATAAAAATGCCAACAGATTTAACCTCTGCCCTCTGTTATAGCTGTAGGGCTGCCTTTTCTCTGGATCCCCTGTCTTCTACTAGCCCAAGGCTTCTTAAAGGAGCAGCTCACGTGCACACACATGCTTGTTATTATATAAAAGCTTTGGGGCTTTTACTCCCACCATTACAATCCTTGCAAGAATGTTATTAATGATGGGACTAGCATCAACCCACACTCCCCCTTCCCCTGCAAATCGTATTTCAGACACCAGCAAAATGAAAGCATTCATTGCAATTACAACAAGTTCTTTGTAGAGACAAGATTAAGAACCCTGTCCAGTTAATTCTGCAACACTGGAAAAGAATTAAAGGTTGTGGAATGAAGGAACACGTAATATATAATTGGAGAGTGACCTGAAAAACAAAGGGGCACTCACTGAGTTGGTATTTAGGGGAAAAAGTATGAACCAAGAATTTCTGCAGCATATTGGTCTTCCCCTCACCCATTTTTTAGAAACTGGCCAGTGTATTTTTCTGGCAATATCTATTCTGTATAGTAATATATCTCCTCTTCATAACCAAGACTTAAATTGAGATGCACGCTGGCACAGCCTAATTGAAGGAAAACACTTACAAATTACTGATTTTGGGCCCCAGACATGCAAGGACCTATGTGAGTTGCCCAGTGGTGAGTGCTCAAGGGAATTACCTTACTGTCCTTTTGGAGATGTTTGAGGACTGAGGTCTTGGTGTAGTGTGGCTCTGGAGTATGTACAATGTGCAGCTTGTCCAGCCTCCAGATCCTTAACTGCTGGAAGACTTCCCACCACGAGCAAATCACAAGATGGAACTGAGATGTGCATGAGCCCTTGTCATTTCCCAGCAGGGTCAATCATTTTCCTTTCATTTCTTGTACTACTGATTGATTAACTATTTTGGAATTTGAATGCCTGGATCCTGCAGAATTGAAGACAGCAGCTTTCAGAGTCCAAGTGAAATAAATGATACTTTTTAAGCTATACAACTATTATTCATGTAGTTTTAAACACCTATCCATTAAAAGTGAGCAACTTGGCTATACTTCTCAATTTTTAACCTACATTTAGAGTAGCAATAGCTATAATAACTACTAGATAGGGTTGTGGGTTTTTAATCGTACTTTATTCCACCCTTTGTAGAGCATTTGTTTCCTTTTTTTTTCACTTCTCATGCCTTACTTCTTTTCCACAAACCTACTCATTGCCTTAACAACAAGGTGCCACTAGCATGATAGTTGCTACTTTGACACATAACTTTCTTCATCCTCATAATCCTACTGCGAAATGGGAGCAAAAAAGGGAGCTGAAGCACAAGGAATATTGGCTTCCCCCAGCTCAGGCCCCACACTGTACTGACTTGGCTCTTGGTTGATTGAGATATCAGGCAGAGTGAATTTGCTCCAGATAAGACCAGAGCTTGTTAACGATTCTGCTGACTACACAGTGGAAGTGCATTCACAGTCAGGGGCCTTGGTTGAAGACAGTGGTGGATTTTTTGCAGTTTTCCTGAAGTCTGTGCTTGCAGGCTGTGATGCCCAGGAGAACTGATCGGAGCTTCAAGGCTGTTGTGAAACCATCTTGCTGTGTTTTGTGATTTCTAGCATTCAATTTAAAGCTGGTTTTGATGTAGGTAATTGCCTTGATGGATACGCTCTTGGATTTTGAAGTAGGATTCAGGAGGGCATGATATTTGTTAGGCTATACAGATATTTGGTTTAAGCAGAGCAAAATTACATTGCACCACATAAATCCATCGTTATGTTTGTCTTTCACTCACCTACATGTCTTGATGACAAAGAAGGTGACAGCCCTGCTTCCTAGCAGGGCAAATGACTGATCTAAGCCTGTGTTTTAATAGTGATCCATTGTGTGTTCTTGCAAAAAATTAGTGCTAGATCTTGTATATGTGCTGTAAATCTTTTTAGTGTGATTGTTTTGAAAATAGATGGCTCATTGTAATGCTTGTCAACATAAAGCCGCACAGCTCTTCTAGACTACAGATAAAGGACACAGATAACTGTGTGAACTGCCCTCATGAGGGCTGCCAGGTACTTTTGGTTGCCTGCCACTGTGCTTCACCTTCACTCCCAGGCAAACCTGCCAAATGTGTTACACTGATGGTGTTTGTGGTGTGTATACTTTGCTCATTCCAAAACTATTTTTTCCATTAAAGTCTATCACAACCCCTTTGGATTTAGCAGATCTTTATTAGAATGAATATTGTGAACTTGTTGGCTGCTTTTCTTCAAGTATCTTAAAAAAATTCCATGTCTATACCTTACTTACTTTATCAATGCTGAGTCTAATAACACAAGTCAGTCACAGGCAAGCATTTCAGTGGTGGTTCAGTGTCTGACTCGAGAGAAATTGATATCAATAGAGACTTAATGCATCAAGCTCTCCATATCTATTTTTGATGCTGTGTTAAGCTGAATTTCTAATAGTTCATTGGGATAGTATGGGATGATGTATGGTCCAATATGGCTGCTAAACTCAGTTAGTTAAAAGGATTTTCTTGAAGCCAAGAGGAGGTGTAAATGAGGAATAAATTATTGAGTTTGATAGAATCTACTGATGATAGATCTTTTCCCAGTTGGTAAAATAAAGCTGCATTTGTCTCCTTTCCCTTCTTTTTATGTAAGACATAACCTTGCATTGTGTATTTCTGTGAAGTCAGTGAAAACATGCAAAGGATAACAAGCTTGCCAAAGACATTTATTAACTCCTTAAATTATGAAGTCTTTAGCATTCCCTTTCTACTTTATGCACTCTTTCAATAGCTACTTGCTGTTTCCAACTTCAGGGGAAAAGGTCTTTCACTCACCCTGATGTTATCTTGCAACTTCATATTTTGAATTCCCACTGATCTCCTCTCTGCATCAATAAAACATCCATTTCATTTTACCCTCTCACTTAAGAATACTTCACTGGTTACTAATCTGTTTGCAAGGAACACACAGAAAAAAGATTTGATAGGTCGTTGCCAGATGTCCTCGTGAATTTCATAAGACTTGGATTTGGTGGGAGCATATTAATCTCTGTAAAATATGCATTGGTACAAGCACAACAAAAAAAGGTGCAGTGCAAAGATAACAGTGCACTCATGCACTCTGAATTTTCTCCAAGTAATCAATGCAGATTACTGACAGACTTTTTTATATTCACAGCAAGAACTTTGCTAAATTGATGTATTATTGATGTATTCAGAGAGGATTTGCACACTAGCTCTCTTTCTGTTTACTCTTGCTCTTGTAAAGAAGCAATGGGACTCTCTCTGAACCATTCCTCAATGTGTTAATGCTACTGACCATGCATGTAAATAACCTTCTAGGCCATGTATGACAAAAGCACCTCATTTTTCCTGTCACTGTGGTATTGTATATCTTGCTTGTCTTAGTACCAGTACCAGACATGCCAGTACCAGTACCAGACACTTCTACCAGTGTCTCTCTGTAGGGATTTCCCCAAAATTTCTGCTGGTACTTCCCTCACAAACATTACTTAAGCCTGAATTCCTTGACTTCAGTATAAGATCTGTGTTTGTATTGAGAGGGAGTCATCACATGTAAATTTTTCCGTATCAAACCCAAATGTGCTAAATATCTAGTCTAAGCTAGGCTAATATCTAGTCTTCTCTACTGTTACTGGAGGGAATGGGCAGCTCCCAAGCATCACCTGTCTTAGGGAGGACAAATTGTGCTCTGGAGACACCTCTTCCTCTTCACTGACTGTTGAGAGAGCCCAGGGGCTACTTCAGATCGATGCCTATCTTTCTGGTGGCTATAGTAAGGAGCAGTCCAATCACTTATTCCAGAACGTAACAGATTTGGGGCTTTCCACTTCTTTTGAAACTTGAAGTTAACAACAGTCGTTGCCTGCTCCTCTCTTCTTTAGGCGTCTTTCTTGTCCTGAAGGCTCCTGTGGAAACCTGACCAAATATACACTGTTTACAATAGAGGTATCAAGGCCTCTTGTGTAATCCAAGGACACTTTTTAGTGCACATTAGGGACAATCAACAGAACTATTTATAAACCACACCTGTGAATTTACCAGGGTTTCCCCCCACACTTCCTTAAAATAAATGTTACTGTTTTTTTAAACTTGCCTAATTGATTTAGCTTCTGTTATCCAATCCTTTGAGCCCAGTGTAATAAGCAATTTCTTCAAACTGAGTTGCCTTTTATAAGAGTGGAATGAGACTTGTAAAAACTACATTATGTTATCTCACAAAACAAAATTAATCATGATGAAGGCAAAGCCTTCAGTTGTGCTTTTGTTGTCATCTCTAATGTGAGAATGTTTCTGAAACAGTGTTTGTTTTGTAGCTAGCTAATGAAGGAGGAGAGGAGTTTTCATAATGTGCCATTTCAAAATGATAGTTCCAGGCTCTCTTATTCAGCTTTTACTTACTTTAGTCCTGATAATGTTTTTCTTTTTACAGAAAAAACCCCCAGACAATCAATCAGTTCCTGAATAGAATCTTTGGTAGGCAAGTCTTGAATTGGTTGAAATCTTGATTAGGAAATTGCTTTTCAGACAGACAAAATATATGAACTGTATGTTACATAGATATCTTACAGGTAATCTACCAAGTCGGAAGAGAATGCCCAGGAAACAAATTGTTTTGCTTATGTTCCTCCAGCAAAATGAATTAACCTGCCAAACACTTTACATGAGACATTGAAGCAAATATAAATGGTAATTTTAAAACTTTAATGGATGCATTTACTTAATAAGATAGAAATGCCTAGAATTATTGAGGTAAAATACAGGCACTGAGGAGTAAACTGTCAAGAAAACAAGAAAAGCTTGGTATTTTTTCCAATATATTGGTAAAAAAGTTTAGTGTCCTTTATGATAGCTGATTAAACTCTCTCCACATGACAGAACCTTCTGAGGACCTTGCATTCTGCTTCACTTCTGTGGGAATTCCTTAGGGAAAGCCTTCACCAAAATTTCATCTAGTTATACAT